GTTTCGACAAGTACGGCAATGCTTGCTGCAGCGTCTGCGGCGGCAGCTACCTCAACCACGGTGGCGCCAGCGACGCCAAGATGTCCAACGCTACGCAGCTTGCCAGCGACCTCGCGGAGTTGGCCAAGAAGCGCCCTCAAATAGCTGGTCTTCTCGGGCAGGTTGGCCAGCGGGCCGCAGTGGAGCATGTCGCGCCCTTTCCGCCCCCGTCCAGTGACAACGACTTGGAGAAGCAGGTCGAGGCCAAGCGCGCCGAGCGGGCAAAGGACGTGGAGGTCCAGTCTCGAGCAGAGAGGATCGCCCAGACTGAGGTGCAGTCCAGGCACGCTGCTGTCATTCGTCACCGCGAAGCTCTTGGCCCAGGCCGAGGCAAAACATTAGCAGGCGGTGCAAAATCTTCAAGAGAAGCAGGTCGCCCTCCGCGCGGCCAATGCCGAGAAGGAGTCGTTCGTGGCGGGCGACTACCGACGACATCTTCGTGAGGAGGAAGATCGAGCGCGCGCTGAAGCACGGCGTGCATTCCAAGCCCAACAAGAAGCTGCTGCGGTGGCCGCAGCAGGAGCGCATGCCCAGGATGTTCCACATGGTGGGCCTGCTGGTGTGCCGCCTGGTCGAGTTCCTCCTGCTGGTGCTGCTGGTGCCCCTCAGGCTTCGCCAAACTCAGGCCCAGCGGCAGGTATCGGAGGCTCTGGCGGGCATGCTGGCGCCGGTCACGGTTGCAGCGGCGCGGGCGCTGCGCCGCCGCCTGACCTTGGAGGGCTCAGCGACGAGGCACTCCAGGCATGGTGCAGCGCCCGCAATCAGATATACGAGTTTTGGAACGAGATGCGGCGCATGGAGAAGGCCATTCAGTTTGAAGTACCTGATTCGGATATGGCTAGCGAGTGGGGTGATAATCATGTTGCTGGGTTGGAAGGCCGCAGGAAACGATCGTTGGAATCCGCCCTCTCGGAGTCTGATCGGGATCGATTGGAAGCACTACTCGTGCGCAAAGTCTCAGAGAAGGCTCACCAACGACTCAAGAATATACGCGAGGACACCGCCGCCAGCTTTGGGCGCGTTCTGGGGCAGATGGTGCCGCGAGCAGGAACCCCAGCGGCGCAGGCGCCCCCAGCAGGCGGCGAACGCGGACTTCCTGCAGCTGGCGCCGAAGGCGCTGGAGCTCCTGAGCAGCAGCCGCGTTTTTAACAGGCACGCGGGCGGCATCAGTATCGATTTTGTTCTGCAACATCACTGCGTGGAATGATGTTGCGCTATCGTTTGCTCAGAGTGTGAAGCCCGAGTGTGACGGGTTCTTTTTTGCAGCGCACCATCTCGTTGGAGGCAAGACGAGTCTGGCCAAGCGAAAGGCCAGGCAGGTGAAATGGAATCCTCATTTTTTTGATGCTACCCCCACTCCAGGGGGCGGCTCTCGCGGCGGCGTTGGTGCGTCGGTGTCCCGAGGCTTGAGCTTTCGGAGATTGTTCCCCACATGTTTCGTGGGGTTTTGGTTTTCTTCCCTGCCGCGGCGCACCCGCATCTCCTCCTCCTCACCCTCCTCCCCTCCCCCCCCCCTCTTCCTCTCCTCACCCGCGCTCAACACATGCGCGGCAAGTACGCGAGACACGCGTCTACATGCAGCAGCACGCATGCACACACTCGCACACACAACACACACACACACCATACAACGCTAGTGCGCGCCGGATACGTGGCAGGCGCAGCAGTCTCTCGACACCGCAGGGGGTGCGCAGGGGGTGGTCTCTCAGTGCGGTCTCTATCCGTCGCACGCTCGCAAAGCACGGCAGGCGTAGCAGTTCCTCGACACCGGGGGGGTGCGCAGGGGGTGCGGTCTCTATCCGTCGCACGCTCGCAAAGCGCGGCAGGCGTTGTTATCGACGCGAGAGGGGGTGCACAGGGGGTGCGGTCTCTATCCGCCGCACGGTCGCAAAGCGCGGCAGGCGTAGCATTTCCTCTACACCAGGGGGGGTGCGCAGGGTGTGCGGTCTCTATCCGTCGCACGCTCGCAAAGCGCGGCAGGCGTTGTTATCGACGCGAGAGGGGGTGCGCAGGGGTGCGGTCTCTATCCGTCGCACGGTCGCAAAGCGCGCGCAGGCGTAGCATTTCCTCCACACCAGGGGGGGTGCGCAGGGGGTGCGGTCTCTATCCGTCGCACGCTCGCAAAGCGCGGCAAGCGTAGCATTTCCTCGGCACCGGGGGGGGTGCGCAAGGGGTGCGGTCTCTATCCGTCGCACGCTCGCAAAGCGCGGCGGGCGTGGCAGTTCCTCTGCACCAGAGGGGGAGCGCAGAGTGTGCGGTCTGTATCCGTCGCACGGTCGCAAGGCACGGCAGGCGTAGCAGTTTTTCGGCGCCAGGGGGGGTGCGCAGGAGGTGCGGTCTCTATCCATCGCACGCTCGCAAAGCGCGGCAGGCGTGGTAGTTCATCGACGCGAGAGGGGGTGCGCAGGGGGTGCGGTCTCTATCCGTCGCACGCTCGCAAAGCGCGGCAGGCGTGGCAGTTCCTCGACACCAGAGGGGGGGCGCAGGGCGTGCGGCCTGTATCCGTCGCACGCTCGCAAGGCACGGCAGGCGTAGCAGTTCCTCGACACCAGGGGGGGTGCGCAGGGGGTGCGGTCTCTATCCGCCGCGCGCTCGCAAAGCGCGGCAGGCGTGGTAGTTCATCGACACGAGAAGGGGGTTCGCAGGGTGTGCGGTCTCTATCCGTCGCACGCTCGCAAAGCGCGGCAGGCGTGGTCATTGACGCGAGAGGGGGTGCGCAGGCGGTGCGGTCTATATCCGTCGCACGCTCGCATCGCGCGGCAGGCGTGGCAGTTCCTCGACGCCAGAGGGGGGGCGCAGGTTGTGCGGTCTGTATCCGTCGCACGCTCGCAAAGCACGGCAGGCGTATGAGTTCCTCGACGCCACGCCTGCGGTCTCTATCCGTCGCACGGTCGCAAAGCGCGGCAGGCGTAGCATTTCCTCCACACCAGGGGGGGTGCGCAGGGGGTGCGGTCTCTATCCGTCGCACGCTCGCAAAGCGCGGCAAGCGTAGCATTTCCTCGGCACCAGGGGGGGTGCGCAAGGGGTGCGGTCTGCATCCGTCGCACGCTCGCAAGGCGCGGCAGGCGTAGCATTTCCTCGGCACCAGGGGGGGCGCGCAGGGGTCGCACGCTCGCAAAGCGCGGCAGGCGTAGCAGTTCCGCGGCAGGCAAACACATAAGACTTAAATCAAGTAGGTGGGGTTCCTCGGTCGCGTGGTTGTTTTTTGTGGGGTCCGCGAAGGATCGAGGCTCTGGCAGCCGCTGGTTCTTCCTTGAATTGAAGACGAAACGCGCCGTGATAGCCGTAGGAGTAGTTCGTTTGGTGTCGGGCCTGGGTGTTTATAGAGAGAAGGTTGAACGTCTCCGCGAAATATTTGAATCCTTGGAACTCTGGCTATACCGTGGGTCATCATGGGAGATTATAACATACCTGTTGAAGATCTGGATCTTTCAGATTTCCATAGATTGGCCAGGGGTAGAGTTCTGATACCGCAGGGCATCGAGTTCACCTTTGCCCAGGAACGGGGGTCCCTCATTGATTTCGTCGTCGCATTGGAGGGCACTGCTAGTTATGTGGCTGTTACCAAGTATAGCCTGTCCCCGTTCAAGACCCACGCGTGCCTGAAGGCTTCCGTGGGCCATGCGGCTGTGGAGCAACAACTTTGGCGGCGCGTTAAGCCTCTGCCTTTCTCTGATTGCCCAGGTCCTGATCTGCCGTGGGAAGTCCTATTGAAGCAGAACGTGGATGAATGGGGCAGCGACCCCCCTCCCTTTTTCCTTACTGAGCATCTCTTACCTCATGTGCAGGGCCATCTCTCACTGCAGCTGGCGGAACAGTGTTTGCTCTGGGGTGGGACGACTGCGCGAATGTTCTTATCCAGAGCCTGTGTTGTTGAGATTGAGCCTCGAGTTTGCAGCGATCGAGGAGGCTATCCGCATTGCTCTCCAACATTGAAAGGAGAGACGTTTGTGGCCAGAGCTTCCAACAACCATCGTTATGCTTCTGCGCCCACGGCTCTCAATCCCTGTGGGAATGCAGTTTGTACCTGGCCAGGAAATCCTGGACTCAGGTCTCTTGGGGGCCCCCAGCTGTTGCGCAGTCTTGCTGGGCAGGTCCACTTGCACTGGCTCCCTGGGGACCCTCGACCAGCTGAGTGGTGGATTGCTCGTTTGGCCAATGTTCCCCGATACGCTTCTGCACTTAATGAGCTCACTGGTGCACGCACTGCGGCAGTTGCCAAGGCTTGGGCAGCAGCGCGCGCTGCGCCCAAGGACGGCATGGAGAAGTGGCTGTTGAAGGCCCGACCGCGAGGAGCTATACGAGTCCACTCCTGGCTTTAAGCTTGACCAAGGAGCTGATCTTGAGTATCTGGTTGCCCCCGAGGAGGTTAAGCAGCTCCCTCAGGACATTATGGCATATCGACAAACGTCTTGGGGCGGATGTTGGAGTGCCCCCCCCCCCCCCAGTAAGCGTGAGGCTCTCTCTGGGGTCCTGGTTGCCCTGAGACCTGTGGCGCTGCGTGCTGCGCAGGAGTTAGACCACCTTGACCCCCGTGACATCGTGAGGGCTTCTTTGGTGATTCGTACTGGGGCTGCGGTCGGAGTGGACTGTTGGGCTCCTTGGTTGTTGGACTCTTTGCCTCGTGCCGCTGTTGGGGTCTACGCTGATCTCCTCAACCAGTGTGGATCGCTCATGGTGTGGCCGACCCAGGTGATGCTCGGTCTTACCGCCCTGTTGCCCAAGGCTGCGGGCGCGGGGCGTCCAGTGTGCAAGTGCCCTACCCTCTATATGATTTATCGCAATGCCAGAGGAAGGGGCATAGACGACTGGATCGTCCAGCGGTCCACCGCTATTCGAGGATCCCCTGCTGTTCAGGCCGCCCCTCTCAGAGAAGTAGGGCATGAGGTTGCGCATTCTATTAATGTGAAGTCAGTGGGGTTATATTGGGAGTTGGGTAATTCTTTTTGACACGGTTGACCCTCTTCGCCTGGCAGGGTTCGCTATGAAAATGGAGTAGCCAGTGCACCTGCTGTATCTGGGGATTCTGATGCATGAGGCCCCGCGCATCCTGGAGGTAGGGGTTTTCGCCTCGGACCTCATCCCCACTGGGTGCGGGGTCCTGCCAGGTTGTAGTCAGTCTATGCCGTGGATTAAGATATATTTGTATGGCTTGCTTGATTTTGCCCACGTTCACTATAAGCCTATTTGTTTCCGAGCTTACGTGGACGATATCACTATGACCCAGCAAGTCACTCAGTCCGAGATCTTACAGAGCATCCTTCCTGCTGCGGCTCACTTGTGTCGTGTGCTGGAGGCTGCTGGCACCATCATCTCAGATCAGAGCGCCTTTGCCTGCTCGGACCGAGATCTGAAGGACGAGTTGCCGTTCCAGTTCCAGACGGCAGGGCTTCCCATTCGTCCTGACGAGAAGGTTAGAGATTTGGGGGTCATGACCACGGCCGGAAAACGACGGTGCGTTTTCAAACTCAAGCAACGTCAAGGTAAAGCTCGGAAAAAAAGGCGTCCGAGGTGAGATACCTCACCACGTTGGTGGGTAGGGCCGGCAGGCTTTACAAACCAGCTGTGCTTGCGGTGGGATCCTGGGGCCATGGGGTTCTTGGCTTGACGCCGGCGCAAATCCAGGCCATGCGTGGGCAGGCTGCGGTGCGTTCTGGATGGTGGGCCCCAGGGGCCTGCGCCACCATTGTGTTAGGGCTCCTTAGCCCCGCCAAGGATGACCCCCAGTTTAGGCTTCGGTACGAGCAATTGAATGGATTTGCTACCCTGTGGAACGGTCTTGAGCATAGCAAACGATTGGACATTGTGCGTTCCTGGGCTATGCGTTTGAAGAAGTGTTTTGTCACGCAGCACCGATGTTCGAGGTCCGATAGCAGCCGCCATCGCCGTGCTTAAAGATTTACAGTGGGAGCCCGTGCCACCTGTGCTCTGGCGCGTTGGTACAGTTGAGCTGCGCGCGACCGGCGCGGATTTCCCCTCTGGTCTCTGGCCCCTTTTAGAGACGACTTGCTCTAGCGTGTCTTGGCAGCAAGCAGCGCGACATTACATGGGGAAAGGGAGTAGAGCAAGGGGTGGATTTCACGGCGGTTAAAAAGGTTTTCAATCGGTTGTACAAGGATGGGGGGGGGGAAGGAAGCTGCAGGGATTTTGCGGAACGTACTCATCGGCGCCTACTGGGCGGAGCCCAGGATCAAGGACGCTGGGCATGTCTCCTCCGCGTCGGGTTTGTGCCCGCGGTGCGGCGCCTCAGTCGAGTCTCCGCATCATCGCTGTTGGGACTGCGACAGCAATCTGGTTATTCCCGATTCGGTCGTGGTGAGGATTCCTGTGGGCACCTGTCCGCTCCTGCGTTTCAGTCGTGGGGGTGGAGTCGTCTGGCTGAAGGTGGGGAGATCGAGGGAGGGGTCTGGGGCGTAGACGGGCATCGGGGGGGAGCATGCTAAGGACTGGCGCTTGCGCAGGTGCGGATGGGCAGTTGTCCGCTGAGGTGCTACGGGGCAGATCGACGGACTGCTCTTGGGCACCTTGCCGTCAAAAAAGCAGCCTTCACCAAGGGCCGAGTTATTTGCTTTAATTGCGTTGGCTAAGAATTCTATTTGGAACTGCCGTATCTATTGTGATTATCTTCGAGTGGTCCAAGGTGCTCGGCGTCCTCTTAGTGCTGCGAGTCGTTCTAGCATGCTTGACCTATGGGTGGGGCATCATCGGGTCATGTCCGTTCGAGGTGGGTATCTCAATATCTTATGGGCCAAGTCGCATCCCACCCAGGCCCAATGCCAAAACCTATTTCTGCCCCCTGTTGAGCTTTATTTGCGTAAAGCTGCGGATTATTTTTGCTGGCGCTGCCGCCGCCCGTGCCCAACTGTCTGATGAAGATGTGAGCGCCACCCGCCAGGCCGACAAGCTGGCCACTGAAGTGCTTCAGCGGTTGCTGCCGGTCCAGCGGGAGGTCGCCTTCGTGAGTGAACGCGGGCGTGGCGAGAAGGTTCCACGCCGTGTCAGAGGCCAAGCTACTAGTCTCTCTGGGCGTTTATGTCGTCTGCGTGATGCTGGTCATGACCCTCGGTGCTCTGTTGCTGCCATCAAATGTAAAGTGTGTCACCGACGATTTCCTTTGCGAGGGGAGCTTTTGGAGTTTTGGCCTGACCCCTGTAAGCCTCGGGGTCAGATTGGTCAACGAGTTCAAGCCCTCCCAGTTCGCACCCCTGGACGGAGATATTGCCGCCACTATCCCGATGATTTGGGGACCTTCTGCGCTGCGTGGGGGAGCGCTCGACCATCTCATGGCGGGCTTGTGCGACTCCTCGCGCCAGCTGGCGGCGCTGCGAGGCGTCTTGTTTTGTGAGATTTGCGGGGGGTTCTGCGCGGTGAACCCCCTCGCACCCCCAAGAAGGGGTGCGGTCGACCCACCGCGGCTGGACGTGCGGTGTTGTCTCGATTGTCTCGGGGACTTCCCCCGAAGTCGGGGTCTGTGTTCCCGACCTGTAAAGTTTTGTAAGCGGCCTTCCTAGAGAAGGACCACCTACTTGACATAATTAGAATTAGAATTAGAAGCATCTTCAGTTTCATTTTCATCATCACCGACAGCATCATCATGATCATCATCATCATCACCATCATCATCATAATTGTCATCATCATCACCATCAGCGTCATCCTCATCCTCATCATATACTTCATCATCACCATCATCATCATCATCACCATCATCATCATCATCTTCATCACATCACCACCATGGTCCTCATCATCCTGCTCAGCCATCAATCACCATCACCATCATGCTCACATCTTACTTTCACCATCACATGGTCCTCATGACACTCATCGTCCTCGTCTAGTGCAGAGAGGGAGGAGGGTGGTATGGGTGGTTCTGCGCGGATATGGGGCAAAACAAGAAAAATACTTCCCCTTTGGCGCCGGCCGCAATCACAATTGCGACAGGTGCTCTCGCCGCAGCGCCGGTCGCATCCATGATTGAGAAAATTCCTCTCGCCACAGCGCTGGCTACATCCATGATTGTGAAAGTTGCTCTAGCTGTAGTGTTGGCTGAAGCCATCCTTAGAAACAGGCAGGGATTAGTGATACAGCGGGCGCTTCTGCATTGCATGTTGCTGTGTCGCCCCAGTCTGGTGCATCATTCACTACAGTGCGCGCGTGGCGCACTGGTGTCGCCGAGCCATTGGCCACGTTAGCTTGAATGCGTCGGGGCAGCTTGGGCGCAGTGTCGACAAGGCCTGGGTCAGGTCAGATTAAGTCGGGGATTTGCCACGTAGTGTGTGTGTGTGTGTGTTTGTGTGGGCGTTTGTGCGTGCGTGTGTGCGTGTGTGTGTGTGTGTGTTTGTATGTGTGTGTATGTGTGTGTGTGTTTGTCCGTGCGTGCGTGCGTGCGTGCGTGCGTGCGTGCGTGCGTGCGTGCGTGCGTGCGTGTGTGTGTGTGTGTGTGTGTGTGTGTGTGTGTGTGTGTGTGTGTGCGTGTTGTCTGCCTGTTGTTCTCCTGCGGGCCGTCGCTCATGATTTGCGCGATCCGCAAGCACGCCGCCACCAGCTTT